TGCCCCCAACAATCCGGGTCCTCATTTTACTCACCTCGGAAGGATGGAAGGCTGAGTCAACCTTGAGCCGGTGAGATTTGAACCGCTGAACTGCAGATAGCAGTCAGCTGAAGTGGCCTGCAGTAATGCACTCTACCCACTGCATCACCTGCCTCTCTAAGGATGGCAGAGGGATGCTAGCTCTGGCTCTTTCAGTTATCTAAGATGTAAAACACGTGCTCCAGGAAATGATGGAGGAATTCTTCCCTGCAGAAGAGAGGCCTTTTGGGGATGTGGTTAAGGGATTGGACTAGAAACCAGGAGACTGAGAATTCTAGTCCTGCCTTCGGCAAGAAAGCCAGCTGGGTGACTTTGGGCCAAACACCAGGTGACAATGAGTTCTAGTCCTGCCTTAGGCAAGAAAGCTGGCTGGGTAACTTTGGCCCAGTAACGAGGAGACAGTGAGTTCTAGTCCTGTCTTAGGCAAGAAAGCTGGCTGAGTGACTTTGGGCCAATCACCAGGAGACAGTGAATTGTAGTCCTGCCTTAGGCATGAAAGCCGGCTGGATGAATCACCAGGAGACAGTGAGTTCTAGTTCTGCCTTAGGCATGAAAGCCTGTTAGGTGTCTTTAAACCAGGGGTTGGCAACCTTAAACACCCAAAGAGCCATTTGGACCCATTTCCCACAGAAAAGAAAACACCGGGAGCCACAAAGGTCCTAACCAGTACCCTCCCCCCATTCAATTCTGGAGCTGACCGGAAGTCCGGTTCCCCCACCATAGAGTCTCCTCCTAGCCCAGCGTCCTTTTTCCTCTATCTGTCCTAACCGAAAGCCCTATCAATCGTGGAGCCAACTGGAAAACCCGCCCCTTCCCATAGAGTCTCCTCCTGGCGCACCGTGCTTCCCCACACACCCCCCAAACTGGAAGCGCTTCTCAAAATTGTGCCGCCGACTGTGGACGGAGCCACAGGAGAGGGATTGAAAGAGCCACATGCGGCTCCAGAGCCGCAGATTGCCAATCCCTGCTTTAGACCAATCACCAGGAGACAGTGAGTTTTACTCCCGCCTTAGGCGTGAAAGCTAGCGGATTTTTCTACGTACTTCTCTCATAGCATCTGCCGTGATTTAGAAAGAATGCCGTTAAGAGGAGAATTGGGTGAATTGACTATATATTTTTTTTTTAAATGATGAAGTTCCTCATTATGGATTCATATTATGGCCAGCCTGGCTTTAGTACTGGACCTGTCGGTGGTCTAAACTTGTTTCTCTCCCCTTCCCCTTTTAATAGTTCACTGGGCAGTGCCAATGCATGCCAGGATTCGGCGGGCGCACCTGTACAGAATGCCAGGAATATTTCTGGGGTGACCCTACCATCGGCTGCCAAGGTGAGTATGTTATTATTCCTGGCTCACCCTTCCTTCTTTTTCCAGGGATATGTTCAAATATCCCGTTGCAGGTAGTCCTCGACTTACGACCACAGTTGAGCCCAACCTTTCTGCCGCTAAGTGAAACAAGCTGTTCAGTGAGGTTTTTGCCCATCTTACGCCCTGTCTTAACCGTACTGTTAAGTGTGAATCACTGCAGCAGTTGAGTTAGCCGCCCGGAGTCATCCGGGATTGGGCAGCCTATAAATCTAATAAATTAAATTAAATTAAATTAGTGGCATGGTTGTTAAGTGAATTTAGTTTCCCCATTGGCTTTGTTTGTGAGAAGGTGGCAAAACTTCGACCAGTCGTTAAATGAGCCGAGGACAACCTGTAACCAGCATTGGTAGGATTCTGGTATCCTCAGGACAATCCGAGATAGTTAAGGATGGTTTCTTTTGCGATGACGTTTGCGGAACGAACAAAGTACCATTCACGTTGGTTTTATTTTATTTGGATGCAAGAACTTAGAGGCAAGACTGGAATAGATAAGAGGACCATCCTTTAAGTATCTTAATGTCGCAATATATTAATCCTGGACTTGCTAACCAAGGTTAGCCTCTTACGTTGCAGTTATGATTTCTGCAAAGGACTTTAAAAAGATCTCCGCTTATCTGGTGTTCTGTTTTATTGTAGCTAAATTTAACATTGTTGGATTTAAACAGTAGTTTATGAATAACACACTTACATAAAAAAACTAAAATAAGATTTTGCAGAGTTGTATGGAAAGTGTAATCTTGTCAGCATTTCAGTGGAATTTGTTTGAGTTGAGTAGAATAGAATGGAGTAGAGTAGAGATAGAGTAGAATAGAATAGAATAGAATAGAAAAAAGGAATGAAATAGAATAGAATAGAGATGGAATAGAATAGAATGGAATGGAATAAGAATAGAATAGAGAAGGAATAGAATAGAATAGAAAAAAGGAATGAAATGGAATAGAATAGAGATGGAATAGAATAGAATGGAATGGAATAAGAATAGAATAGAGTAAGAATAGAATAGAGAAGGAATGGAATAGAATAGAATAGAATAGAATTCTATTCCAAGCGTGGGTGGACACACAAAGAATTTGTTTTTGGTGCATGTGCTCTCAGTGTACATAAAGAAAAATAAAATACATTCATAAAGAATCATAAGGTAAAGAATCATAAGGTACAACACTTAGTAATAGTCATAGGTTACTAACAAGCAATCAAATCGTACTAGGAACAAATAAAACAATATAAATTGTAATCCATCCATCAATCTATCTATCTATC